TGATGGACAAGATTTGTCTATGCTAGTGTCATTAAAACACGTATCTTATCGCCCTTAAGGTTATTTTCTCCTACAGTCCTTGTGGCCTGAATGTGCCCCCTGGCTGCAGCTGCCGCATGATAATTGTTCTGAACCCTGGGTTACTGCCTGCCTATGGAATGGATGTGCTATAGACAATCTGGGTAAGACTTTGAATCTAGCTTGAGGATTATCTTGATTTTATTGCTGTTGCTTTTGTTCTGTCATTAGTCTGGTCACAATGCTTATTTCCTCTCCCTGGGACCATTGTGGAAGAGGGAGAAGGAGTAGATTGTAAAGTGAGATTTCTGGAGGGGTGGCCTGTGGGTAAAATTGTAACATTTCCAGAATATCTCGCCTGGCTTTGGTGTATTTGTATATCATCAGGGGTGGAGGGAAGTTTATTTCCATGTCAATGGGTGATTACCTGGGCAACTGAGGGCGTGTCTGAACCTGAGAGGTTAAGGGGAAGGACTTGCTTGTTTGCTTGCTTCTTTCGGAGGAGGGGGAGAGATGGCGCTGGACTTCAGTTTGTAAGCAATAAATGGGTTTTAAACTTTATTTCTCCCTTTGACTGATTTTGGTTTTTAAAGGTATTTTGCCTCGCGATTTCCTCTCCCTGGACTTATAAACCCTCACTCATCATAATGGGGAAGAAATGAACTTTTCAGAGTTGAATAGAGATAGTGAATTCATGCATATTATTTAAAAATATGAAAGCAAAGCACAGAAGAAACAGTTAAAAATGTTGAGAATGGTTGCCACTGGGAAGAGGTACATGACAGGATGTGGGGGTTGGGGAGGTGGGAACTGAGAACTTGTTTTTGTTAGCATTTGAGTGCTATTTGACTTTTATTTGACTTTTAACCTTATATATATATCCTGATGAAAATAAAAACAATTTTAAAAAAAGACACACAGTTTATGCAGCTACCTAGTCTGCTGACACTTTGGGACAGGTCTGGTTGAGCTTCTTGCTCACACATCCACACCAAAGGTGCGTAGCTTCTTTTTATTCAGAATCCTGAAGTGTGCATTTGACAGTGTTCGCCTTTAAGACAAGAGGTTCCCAATTTTTTCAGGACAGGAAGACATTTCTTCCTTTAATATGAGAGGCACCATAATCAGTGGCCAAGTGTGTAGACCTTGGAGCTCGACTCTGGGTTCAGATCCCAGCTTTGCCATTTATAAGCTGTATGACCTCGGCAAGTCTCAGAACTTCTCTCCCTCCCAGCTTCATTATCCGTAAGTGAGAGATAGTAATGGTACTTAGCTCTAGAATTGTTAAGAAAATTAAATGAGTTGACTTTTTTAAAGTGCTTAGACTAGTGCCCAGCATATTAAATACATACAATTTCACAAGAAGATTAGTACCTATCTTTTTTGAAACCCAGATTGAGAAAATATACTCAATATTGCTATGAATTTGGTTATTATAAACTGTAAAATATATATAAATATTCATATTTAATTATAATATATTATAAAATATTTCATATTTTCTTTGTCACATCAGAATTTGCACAGTTTGCAAAAACTGTACTGTATGAAATGCTATTACCTGTCAGTCTACAGACAATGTTCAATGTACATATGAATTGGCAGTAAATCTGAGGAGGTCTGAACTTTGTAAAACACATGCACTGCCTATGCATTGACCCTCCATGTCTATAAAGTAGAATCTATAATTGATCATTTTTAACTGATTAGAATCCTCCCATAATTTTTATGTGGAAGCTACACTAATGTTATCTTCCTTCTCCTCCCACCAGAATCGTGGCTCAAGGTGAACCTGTGAGAATTGAGTAAACAAAACCAACAGAACTGTAGGATGTTAGCCCCTTGGAGACTTAACCTAAGAAATTATTGAAAGCATGCTTAGAATTCAAGTGTAATTAAGAAAGCTTAAATCTAATTTATTCCATTGCCTGAGAATGAACTATATAACAGAAGGGGTTAGCCAGGAGCAGAAGGAGGTAATGGTAAAAAACAAAAGGTTCCTGTAGATATCTTGTACTCTTTAGGAAACACTATTTGTGTTTATATGAACACAAATATTCCACTATCCCTAGGCAATGAAGATACAAATCTTGATGATAGCATTAATCTTTTTATCTATCTTCATTTCTTCTAATACCAAAAAACAGTCTGGTGATAATTTGATTTCCTGTATAGGTTTGTCTGTGAGTTAAATTCTGCTTGGTACTATTGTTTTCCATCATAAATGAACAAATTGTCATTCTGAGGGAATCCTCAATCAACTCAGCAGGAATCAGGTTCAGTACCTCCAAAAGGACAGACCAGAGGACAGGACCCTATAACGCGGGGCCACAGGTACTCCTGCTTCACTCACATTTATTATAGATAACATTTCTCCATCCTGTCTTTTATAACTACAACTTGGCCCAGTGCAGAACCTTCATTCCTATTATTGTTTGTGTTTTCCTGGCAGGGAAAATCTACTACATTTTCCTCTCTGGGAAAAAACAGGGCTAGGGCAGATTTTTGACTTTCATTTGGAATGTGAGCTATACCAATTATTTAAACTATTTTCATTAACTGTCACATACTGATGCCGGGGTTCTTGTTTGTGGAGTCGAAGAATGAACTTAGCAAACAGTCAAGGTAGGAGAGCCAGGGAGACTTTTATTGAGAGATACAGTGAGAGGACAGACAGAGCTCCTGGCGTGGAGAGCCTGTGGTGGTACATTGTCTAGGGGTTTTACAGGCAGTTGAGGATATTTGGGAACGTGAAAAAAAAAAGCTTAGGCATGTGGACTTGTTCAGTGGTTCCTGAATATTAGAAATTAACTTAACATAAGGAATTTCCTGCCTTGATTTCTCTTTGGGATACTGGAGTCTTGGTCTGGGAGCACATCAAAAGGCTGCCTGCCCAGCCCCCAAGGTGGGCTGAGGTATTGTCTGTTTGCTGGAGAGTAAGTTAAGAATCTTACTTGTTAAACTTCCTGGGTGTTAAAATGCAATCTTATCTTTAAGGTGGAATCCTTCTTGCCTTTTACTATGTTGTTTACAGCTGGGTCTGCATGCTAAATTAGTTGCCCAGTTTTCAAATCACTTCATCAGATCTGAAGGAGGAAAGACAGCACATAGGTCTGGGCCTTTTAGCATGCTAAAGTGAATCTTACACATGATTACAAATGGTTAGCATAATAAAAAGATGTGCTACTCTTCTTTATCTGGGGAATATTAACTGATCTCACTGAAGAATGACTCTAGAGCTTAATGTTTAACACAGAGTTTTGGTAGGGGGGTTCCTTGCATGTAGTTACATTGCTCTGACCGTAAATATCCTGCCTTGCTTTATCCAGAGGCCCTCACCCTATTCTGTCTAAGCCCATGGTTCCCGTCTCAATACTATATTGATTCATTCAGTTCAAAAGTCATCATGAACAATGAGCAAAACATTTTGTTGGAAGACACATGATTATAATGATGGATTATGAATATGTGGAAGTGGCCCAAACATCTATTGTCAGATGAATGGCTAAGCAAAATGTGATATATACACAAAATGGAATATTACTCAGTCTTAAAAAGGAAAGAAATTCTGACACATACCAAAATATGAATGAACCTAGAAGACTTAATGCTAAGTGAAATAAGCCAGTCAGGAAATGACAAATACTGTATGGGTTCACTCATCTGAAGTACCTAGCACAGTCAAAATCATAAAGACAAAGTTAGGACAGTGGTTGCCAAGGGTAGGGAAAGAAATAGTGGGGAATTTAACTGATACAGCTTTAGTTTCACAAGATGAAAAGAGGTCTGAAGATGGATGTCTGTGCTGGCTGCACAACGATATGAATTATACTTAATGCCACTGAACTGTACACTTAAACATAGTTAAGATGGTATATTTTACAAGTACTTTACCACAATAAAGAAAAATTGAAGGAAAAAAAGATTGATTATGGCTGTTGTCTTAAGGTGCGTACAGCCTCCATGAAAGGCTAAACAGGTGGGTGGGAATAGCGTCCTGGGGATGCAGGCCAAGGACAGGTCAATACTGAGACTGCAGCAATACTGTTAGGAAGGAAAATAGATATGAGCCTGGTGGAAAGAGAAAAAGGCCAGAAAGTCCATTAAAAAAGACCCCAAATTAATCAATTAAAGCTCCAAAAACCTAGAGCAACTTGGCCTGGAATGTTTGAACATTTCCCAGATAAAGGAAGGTCCCTCAGCACAGCCTATGTCTTTATTGTGTTAATCATGCAGGCCCAGCTTACTTTCTTTACCTTTACCTATATGCTGTTTTTTCTCCTTCCCGCCTTAATTAAGTAGTTTGCAACCTAGGCAACTAATTTGGCATGCAGGCCCAGCTGTAAACAACATAGTGAAAGGCAGGAAGGATTCCATCCTAAAGTTGTATTTTAATACCCAGGAAGTTAAAAATGTAAAATTCTTAACTTACTCTTGAGCAAACAGACAATAGCTCAGCCCACTTTGGAGGCTGGGCAGGCAGCCTGTTTGATCTGCTCTGTGTTAAGTTAATTCTAAGTATTCAAAGACCACTTAACAAGTCTGCACCCCTAGCCCTTAATCACATTCCTAAAGAATCCTAAAAAGAGGGAACCCCCGGCTTTCGGGAGCTCCTCTCTCTGAGGTCACCCACACTTTCTAAGTGGGTAACCTTTTAATCTTAAACTTTCTCTCTCTAAACCTTTCAGGTACCTCTCCTTGCTGAGGCTGCCTGCTGCATTTCTTCTCTAAGTTACTTTAAATAAAACTTTTACTCTGCTTCACTACTGTGTCTCTGCCCTTCAATTCTTTGTCGCGGCAGGGACAAGGACGGAGGAAAATACACAACGCTCCCCCAACAATACATAAGTCATCACGTAATTCCCTCAAATGCTTAAGATCCGCTGAGCAGAAGCCTCCCCTTCCTGCTTGAGAACCAGAAGGCACAGGAGAAACCGGGCCCGTCGCGCCCGGAGCTGTCTGGCTCCGCTCCCAGGTCGGCCTGAGCCCGTCGGACGCACCTCCAGGGGCGCAGGGGGCGCTCTGGCCAGCCTCTCCTCCCGCCGCCTCGGTGACCCTTTCGCCTCCGCCGCCGCGCGCGGCTGTACAGACTCTTGCGGGTCCGTGAGGAGCATGGCTACGGCCTTGGGCGGCGAGAAGGAGAAGGAGCGCCCCGGGGGCGGCTCGGGAGCGGCGGGCGGTAACAGCACGCGAGAGCGGCTGCTGTCTGCGCTGGAAGATCTGGAGGTCTTGTCGAGGTAATGCCGTCGCCAGAGGGCCAGGCTGGGACTGGGCTGCGAGGACTCCCTCCAGCCCGGCCGGGCCTGCGTTGGCGCGGGTTCCCGGGGCTCGGCGGGGAGGCCGTGCCCGAGTGTCGTGGGCCTGCCGCCCGCAGTCCGCCCGGACGGCATCTTGTCCCCTTAGAGGACACTAATAGTGACAGTGACCCCGGAAGCCCCAGACGGTCAGACCCTGGCGGACCTTAGAGGTCCGCGGTGTGACTTCCTGCCTCCACAGGCGTTTAAGGAACTTGTCCTGGGTTACTTGCGCCGAGGGACGGTAGTTTCGGGGGGACTGCATGCCGACGTGGAGGGGCCCTGTGTCAAGGGGAAGAGACCCGCGTAAACAGTGGGGCGGAACCTGTTTTTATCAGAGGCGTGTGCTGCGTGCTGCTGGAGCATTAGGACTAGGCGCCTCTCCCGGTTGCAGTAGGGGGAAAGCTTCTTGGAGAAAAAGGACTGCATGGGAAAAATGAGTTCACCGGAGTCACTAGGCGGCAGGTAGCTGGAACCGCCTGTGCAGAGGCCAGGAAACATGAACACGACCTACTACTTGTTGGAATTGCAAGCTTGGGTTAGTTGGAGTGCAGGGTGTGTCGCAAAGGAAGGAGTGAATTTGTATGTCATTCTTCTTATCCTGTCATCTTTTATGGTAACCTGTCAGGTTGAAGCTTCCTTAAGTCCCTCACATTCACTTGAATGTTAAAATTGTTTTGGTTCACCCTTCTTCTGAAATGTTACTTATCTTTGATCTCTTCTTCCCATCACCACTGTCATAACTCTTGTGCAGCCTCCTACCAGTTTTACTTGCCGTAATGCTTCTGTACTTTCTTTGACATTGCCGAAGAACAGAGCTATCTTTTTAAAAGGCATTTTGTCTCACTTTTCTGCTTTAAACTATTTGGTAGGTTCTCTTTGCCCAATGAGATAAAATCCATACTCCCTAGCTTAGTGTGTGATAAGGCCATTCTCTATCTCCTCTTCATCCATCCTGTTACCCTCATTTACTGCCACACTCCTCCGCCTTCCATACCCTTCTCTCTAGCCTGGGTGCATGTTCTCCATTCTTCTTCATCTTCAGTGCCATTCTCGCTCCACCTCCAACCTGATGGATCATTCATTCATCCTTAAGAATCCAACTCACATGTCACCTTTTCTGTGGCCAACATTCTCTGACAGCTTTAGGATAAATCGTATATATTGTACTACCTGATTTATACTTACAGCCTTTTATCATTGCTGTGAGTTTAATTCTTGCCATAGCAAGCACTACTTATAAGATTACTAGGTCAGCACAATATTAAATGGTGTAATAAAGCCTAAAATAACACAAACACCAGAAGTTAAATACTTATGTGTTTAATCCACTATTTAGACTGTGTTAGAGTCAAATACTGCCTGACAACAGATAGGACACGTGAAATTTTCGGCCAGACAGCAGTCATTACAGTGAGCAAGAAACTCACCAAAGGCAGCTGTCTAAATGGGTTGTTCTATGTAAATATTTACACAGATTAATGCAAGTGCCGTCTCCTTCTTTGTTAGTTTTGTAGTTATGGAGAACTTGTTAGTGTCCTCTAGTTAAGCCTATCAAATGAATACTAATGAATGATTTTTTAGTAAAAAGACCCTAGCAAGACAGAGTTTGTGGTATGAAGTTTGCAGTTAAATTGTATTTAGTATTAGGGCAGATTCTTGATGAATTATTTTGACTTTTCCCTGGTTCTTTACATTTGTCCTTTGCAAATTTCTCTCGAATCTTCCTTAGCATTCAACAACTCTCTTTATTTACAATCATAATTCATTGGCATTTCTGTAATGGATATGAATTTATATAACTGGAGTGACAAGTAAAACTTGCATAAATGGTTCTGTTAACGGGTACAACTGAGTCTCCATGAGCATTCACTGCAGCAAGAGCTAAAGTCCACAGTTACGGCGGACTGTGGGGCAGTGGCTGTGAATACTCAGCACGCTGTGGGTACCGTGAATCCAGCAAGACAGGCTGAGATCAGTTAAGAAAGGCTCTATTGTATTTATTTTGCTAAGGTTTTTTTTTTTTCTTTTTTAGAGAACTTATAGAAATGTTGGCAATTTCAAGAAACCAAAAGTTGTTACAGACTGAGGAGGAAAACCAGGTAAGTGGTTTCTTTTTGAATTAAAAAGAAAAACCTTCATCATTTCTGAAATTTTCCTATTTATATTTATTTTGTAAGAGAACAGGAACATTTTATTCTATCAAATTATTAATTGCAACTTGTAAATTGATTTTTTTTGCATCGTTTAAATAAGAATGTGCTTGGGAAGAAATAGTTGACTAGTGGTTTAGCAGTATTTTATTATTTTCTCGTATAGTTTCAGGGTACACATTTATTGATTTTTGTCTTTTGACTTAACCAACGAAGGTTTGTTAATGGATATTAAAACAGTATTTGGGATCAAAAAAGTTAATGCTGTCATTAAGTAGCTCTTATTGTAGGCTTGGTTCCCCTAATGCAGCTTGAGAATGAAGACATAAAAGAGCATGTAAGAGTTAATAGAGGTTATTTTGTGGGTCTTGAGTTTACAAGTAGTTTTTATTAATACCTTTCTATACTTAGTAATTTTTCACAATGAACAGATTGTTTTTCTTTTTAAAGAGGGTGAGGGTTAACTTTATGTATGTTTTTAACCACTATTTTTAAAAGTTTATTGTAAGAGAAAACAGGAAGACTATCCTTTTTAAAGATGCGAACAGAAGAGGAAACAGCCCCTAGTAGATCTCTCCTCCTTAACTTCTGCCCCATGTTATCTTAGTTTTATCTTATGATGTGTTTTGAGGGCAGAGAAATTTGATGTACTGTCAATAGTGAAGTGTCAGAAAACTTGTTTTCTTCAAGGATTAATCCCCTCATGAGGAGAGTGGGAATCAGGTAAGGCTACAAGTTTTAAAAAGCTGCTAATTTTAGGGGTATTAGGGTTGTTTTTTGCTTGTTGATTCTGTTTTTAGAAAAAGAGCCTACAGAGAAATGTGTTAATAGAAGAATCCCAGTCTCAGATACTTTATTAATAATTCCCTGTGGGATTAAATAGAAATTTATTATAAAATGAGCACAAAATCAAATGAGCAAGTTTTAACCTCACTTCCTAGGCACTATTTACTATGAGCCAGGCACACAGATTATTCAGTAGGTCATAACTAAGACCTGCATAATCAACACTAATGTTTCTTACACTTTTCAGGGACTACCAATTCTGTCCTTAAAAATAACAGTACCTAATCACCTAAGGTTGTTGTGATGATTGATGATAATGTATGCTAAGTATGCATAGGAAGAGCTCAATAAAGGCTAGTTATCATCATTATCCCACTGCAGAATTAAACCTTCGACTTACTACTGTGAATTCCTATATAACTTTCATTGAAACTGTTAAATTTTAGTGGGATGTGCCATTTGAAAATTTTCTAGCCATCATTTTATTTGAATATTCATATATTCATATAATGTAGACTTTTAGTTAGAAAGGATCTTAATGGTCTTCAGTTGAATCTCCTGTGAGATTGAACTCCAGGGGTGGATAAGTGAGCTATAGGTTAATGGGTGAACAACTGAACCAGTGTCTTCTGACATTAGTTGAATAGTTTTTCTCTTTTCAGTAATAAAGTCTAAAAAATAATCTTAACTATTCTCTGGAAGTATACAAAATAGGTCAAACTGTAAACTTCTTGAAAGTTGTCATGGAACTAACAAGTACTACCACTTTGGTTATTAACTTTTTAAATGTAGCTTTTTTAGAAATGAAAGCCTAGCTTTCCTCTCTTGTGACTTGAGTAGAATGAGAATTACAGGTCTATTAAATAAAATACACTTTTGTTTTTTTTACAGAAATGCTTTCTATTATAATAAATACTCGTTCTAGTAAAATACTCTTAATGCTTTCTATGCTATGCTCTTTGACCCTTATAGTTTTTGCTCTATCTGTATACCTTTTGAAATTCCCCCCTTTTTAAACCATCTTCATCCTAAGCTACTGTACATGAAATCACAGATTTAATGTGAGTTATATTTTTTCTTGAGCATATTAGCACTGATGTATAACTAAAAGTTTTTAGGTACCATAGAAATACTTATCATAAAAGATAATATTTCTTTATCAGTTCAATTCTGAAGTAGGCAAAATGAGGCATTCACTATACTTGTATTTTGTCAGGTTTCCTTACATTATATTTTATTTTACTCATTTATTTGCTATAATAGTTGATTATATACAGTTTGTGACTTTTAAAAAAATTGTGCATTTTGTCATAGTCTCTTTGCTCTTATTTAGTGCTTTGAGATTTTTTGTTCAGTTTAACTGAGATGTAATTGATATATAAATACTGTATCATTTTTAAGTGTGCAATCCATGATTTGAGATACATCTATATATATAGATACAGATATAGGTAGAGTGAAATGATTATTACAATAAGTTTAGTTAATATCCATCACCTCACATGGTTACATTTTTTTTCTTGTGATAAGAACTTTGAAGAAAATAGGGAAAGTGACACCTTTTCATGTACCTATTGGTGATTTGTATGTCTTTCAAAATTTTTTTTATTTAGTTTCTTTGCATAGTTTTAAGAATGTTTTGAAGTTGCTACAATTTAATTTCTTAGCAACTTTCAAATACACAGTATAGTATTAACTGCAGCCACCATACTCTGCATTAGATCCCCAGAACTAATTTATCTTATAACTGGAAGTTTGTACCTATTGACCACCTTAATTCTTCTTCCTGCCCTGCCTCTGACAATGACCAGTTTGATCTCTTTTTCTGTGAGTTTGGCTTTTTTGGATTTCACATGTGCATGAGATAATATAGTATTTGTCTTTATGTCTGACTTACTTCACTTAGTATGATGCTCATAAGGTCTATCCATGTCACAAAAGGCAGGATCTCCTCCCTTTTATGGCTGAAAAATATTCCATTATCTTTACACATTTTCTTTATCCATTCATCCATCAATGGACATTTAGGTTGATTCTATGTCTTGTATTGTAAATATTGCAGTTGTAAAGATGCCTGAATATGTGGGTGTAGGTCCCTTGTTGAGTGATACTGTTTTTCTCAGATAAATACACAGAAGTAGAATTTTTGGATCATATGGTAGTTCTGTTTTTATTTTTAGGTAACTTCTGTACTGTGCTCCACAGTGGTTGTACAAATTTACATTCCTGTCGACACTGTACAAGGATTCCCTTTTCTCCGTATCCTCGCTTTTCTCCATTTCCACATTTCTTGTGTTGTTGACATTAGTCCCTTTGATTTGCAGTAATATCCAATTGCAGTTTTGCTTTGTATTCCTCTGATGATGAGTGATGTTCACTGTTCTTTCATGTGCCTTTGGCCATTTGTTTATCTTTGGAAAAAATTTTTTAATTGTATTGTTTTGTAAAAGTTTTGAAATTCAATAAATGATCTCAAATACCAAATTGGGCGAAACCTCCATTACATTATATATATATATTTTTTTAGATAATTATTTTTTATTGAAAGGTAGTATTACATTAGTTTCAGGTGTACAACACAGTGATTGAACATTTATATACATGATAATTCTAGGTACCAGCTATCACCATACCAAGTTGTCACAATGTTTTAACTGTATTCCTTATGCTATACATTACATCCTGGTTACTTATTTATTTTACAATTGGAAGTGTGTACTTTATTTTATTTATTTCTTTTTTTTTAATTTTAATTTTAATTTTAATTTTAATTTGTTTGTTCATTTGTTTATTTATTTATTTATTTATTTATTTATTTATTTATTTATTTATTTATTTATTTTGTGAGGGCATCTCTCCTATTTTTTTTGATGAAATGGTTGTTAACAACAATAAAATTCTATATAGGGCACTCAATGCTCAATGTATAATCATTAATCCACCCCAAGCCTAATTTTCATCAGTCTCCAATCTTCTGAAGCATAACGAACAAGTTCTTACATAGAGAACAAATTCTTACATAGTGAATAAGTTACATGGTGAATAGTACAAGGGCAGTCATCACAGAAACTTTCGGTTTTGATCATGCATTATGAACTATAAACAGTCAGTTCAAATATGAATATTCGTTTGATTTTTATACTTGATTTATATGTGGATACCACATTTCTCTCTTTATTATTATTATTTTTAATAAAATGCTGAAGTGGTAGGTAGATGCAAGATAAAGGTAGAAAACATAGTTTAGTGTTGTAAGAAAGCAAATGTAGATGATCAGGTGTGTGCCTGTAGACTATGTGTTAATCCAAGCTAGACAAGGGCAATAAAACATCCACGGATGCAGAAGATTTCTCTCAAAACAGGGGGGGTGAGGTTCTAAGCCTCACCTCTGTTGATCCCCAATTTCTCACCTGATGGCCCCCCTGCGACTGTGCCTGTCTTAGGTTGTTCCTCCCTTGAGGAATCTTACCCGTCTCTGGCTAACCAGTCATCTTCCGGGGCCATACAGGGAAATGTAAAGTTGGTAAGTGAGAGAGAAGCCATATTGTTTGAAAAGGTTAGCTTTTTACTTCTTTGCAGATTTATGCCCTGTGGCTTCTATGCCCAGCACTTGTCTCGAGGTATCTTTACCACCTGGAGGAATTATGATACTCGGTAAATTCGATATGAGGCACGAATTCTATTTAAGGGTTGTAATTAGGAAGGAAGAAGAAAAGCTATAGATGTAGCATATGAAGGAAACTTGGGAGGATTGATTATTTCTTTGACATATCTTCTTGTATAGTACCTTAAGTATGTATAGGTTTTAAACTACTAACTAATTTGCACACACATATTAACATAATAGGAATACGGTGACATAAACAAAGCAAATCTATAATTACCAGCCATCTCCAGTGAAGCCAAGAAAACCATTTAGGCACCCTAGGCATTTGTGAAAATTTATCTATGATATGATGGATATTGTCCAACTGTACTTGAACCATCAGACAAATTAAAGCAGCCCATTTCTGGGATCTGTTCACATCCCATATGTTCTTTTAACCATAGATAGTCTATAGTCATGAGATTTTGGGGTGCTACAACTTGCACCCCTCCCAACTCCTGGTTGAGTTCCAACAGTACAGATCCAGTCAAATTCGTTGTCTCACTGTATGCACATG